TGAGATATTTAACTTTATTATTTTGAGTTAGAATTATTACTGAAGTAAAATGTTGTATAACAATTTTCCTAATGTAAAATCCCTTTGCTGTAGTCTTATCATGGAAAAGTGGCATATAAATCAATGGGGGCACTGTTAGCACACCCTGCATAACCTGTACTGTATTTGGGGTCCCCATGTTTTCATATTTCATAACTGGAGCCAGCATGTTCTTTTGGAACTTCCTATGAAGAAGGAGCAAAGACACAAGGGCATGTGCACGATCCAGATAATGGTAAAAACAAAGTTAGATGGGTGTACTGACTATCTCCTCACCCCAGTCTCTTTTGCATTCCCTCTTGCACCAAGCAACAAAGGGGATCTCATTACACCAAAGAAGTTGGCCAGGTCTCTCTGCCTACCCCTGCTATGTTCCCAGCCAAACTTCCCTGTCCATCCATCCTGGGGTTATCCTAGTCTATTTGCTATTTTTATTACTCTAAAGTTAAAGTCATCAACCAGTTTGGAATCCTGTCAATTCCTGGGAAAGACATCAAGTCTTTGTTACCCTACAAGATAGCCCATCCCAAAGGCTAGTTTTCAGGTATAAATATTGGTCCCAAAACCTAGCCTCTTCACATATAGTTGGCCTCCAATCTGTGCTCCATGTACTATGTTGCCCTCAGATCCCAGATCCTATTCCCACGGTCTACTTTACAGGATAGGTAATTATTGCCTCTCTGCAATCCTCAATCTCTGCTATCCTCTTTCTAAACATCATTTTCAGTTAGCTCTGAATGCTGTGTGTGTTTGAATTACTAGTGTGTGTGTGTTAATTATACAAGAAAATCCTTCTTAGTTCACTTAAACTTGGGAGTCCTCCTTAGTGAGTACTGGTATACATAGGTGCTAGTGGTCCTAAAGGTTACTTAGGGCCTGAAAAGACTGCTAGAAATAATCCATCTTGAGACCACTTTAACTGCCCTCAATACCGATGGTATTGATGGTATTGGGGGTATAGTTATCAAATTTGCAGACGACACCAAATT